AGCCTAACAAATTTACTCTTGATTTACTCTTGTTGTTAAAAACATTCTCGTTGGTTTCGCATGTGTTAAAAATACCTACTGCAACCGCTCGTTTACTTGTAATAAAAGCATTTTGTTTCCACCATGTGATATGAACACGTGGATCAGTTGACACGTGATCGCACTTCGCCTTGAAATTTAAAATAATGACTAGATGCAGAAATAGTTTCTGTGCGCTTTAAATATTATTTAGATCATATTACTGCGCCTCCATTTTAACGAGGAAGGCTTCGCTGAAGTCTGGGGGTGGCAGAGGGTGCAAAGTTATATGTTGTCAACGCGCGTTAGTGTCATCGCCAGTTGTCAGCTCCGCATGTCTCCTCACACCCTTCTTGGTTATATAGCGTTATTTATGCAATGAGAATGAGCAAAATACCTTTCAGATACCATGCATGCCTTTCAAATGGCCATTATTGCGGGGACGGTGATTGCAGTTCAGTAGTTTTAAGGGTGTTTGGTCGTTTAAAAAGTCTTCTAAAAAAGATCGTAATAGTATGCATGAAACTGTAGCTTTTCTTTTTTTTAATAATTTTTAACCATTGAAAAACTGCTATAGACTGGATTCATACTTTTTAACAGTCACTTCGTGCATTACTATGTACATACTTATTAAATGTTAATTAAATTAACAAATTTAAAATACGGTCCATCCTCATTGTTGTCAAATTCTATAATTATTCATCCCCACCAACCACCTGATAACATCATCTTAAAATTTTGCATGGTAAATGCTATTTAGGTTTTAATAAGGCAATAATGCACAAAGATTATCGTAAATTGACTTAAATCCTTTATTTTTATTTTAGCTTCTTCATTAAAGTTTAGAATATTGCCTTAAATTGCAGCAACCTTACTTGAGACAAAAATGTTCTACAAAGAAAAAACAGAGACTATGTTAAGTTCAGCCACGACCAAAATAAAGCAGACGAAGTGCCACGGTTCAATGTTTTTTGTTTGTAAAGGGACAAGAATGAATTTAAATACTTGAAATTCTAAAGATGTAAATAATTAGCAGTCTTATTTGTCAGAGTATAACACTAATGTGGTCTGAAAATTGAGGAATTAATATAATGCGGGAAGAAGACGCTAAATGTTAAGAACGTTTCCTAATTACACTCTAATGGAGCTAAATTAATATTAGCGACTGCTTGTCATCTCCGTCAAGTCGAATATCGGTGACAGGAAAGGAGATTAGTGCGTGTCTCATATCTACTTATAATAATGAAAATATATCTCATTATATGGTAATTTTAAAAAGAAAAATCTATTTTAGCACAATGAGCACGGAGAATTCCAATATGAATACAAATGAATGCGTAATTTAAATTTCTTCGAATAAATGAAGAAATTATGTAAAAGAATATACGCAATGAATAGTCATGGTTCTGTGACTAAGGTAAAACAGAAAATTTAGAGCTCATAACGAACTGTTTACCTTGTTCGCCGTAGCTTCGCCCTGTTTTAATTAAGTGCTCGTGTAACTTCTAGGGATGTGCTTGAGTTGTTGCACAGAAATGTGAATGAATTAATGTTTTTTAACTCATTTGAGATTTGGGAGATTTAAGTGTTTTATCTACGTAGCTCTAAGTCATTTATTTTCAAAACAGTGTATTATATAGAATAATTATTATTGGAGGTATAGTGTTACATTCGTAATTATGGCCATTTTCACTCAGATGATTTGTTCCACTCACACTGTCCTATACCAAGGTAATTTCATGTCTTCTATACGGTTTATAATCCTAGGGTTTGGAAAACTGAACGTTCCGTTTCCGTTTGACTGTCATCTGTTATGGAATTTATTATGCAGATTAAGAGTAAAAATGCGTTTTTAATATTCGCTCAATAAATGTAGAGCAGCCGGTCTACATTTGAAACTTATTTCCTGTGCTCATGAACCAAATTAAAATTTCAGTATTATTCGTTTTATCATCGGCTTCGTTAAAATATAGAAAATGTGTCAGTAAAAGTAGGTACAGGCGTTCGGATATGACAGAACGTGCCGATTCAGTTCAGTAGTTTCGGAGATTATCTGCCTAATAAAATCTCCAATAAACAGGCGGAAACCGGGAACTCGCAATTTCGTATACTGTAAGGTATGAAACGCAAAGTATACTGAAATTCGACATTCGCCAACATAAGATTTCCATTGCCCATGGGAAGCAAAAATCGTAAGTCTAATTAAATTAATTAAATGTATGTCGATATGTCATTAAATTTTCTGGCAATACGTTGCGAGACTTATTTTTTACATTTGATGCTAATCAATAACTAAATGAAGCTTTAAATATTTCAATTCCAAATTCATTATTATTAAATAAAATTGATTACGACTGACCAAATTTCAGCTAAATTGACAAGATAAATAATACATATTTTCACTGTAGTTATATTTGTTTTTTGCACTGTCACGAAAATTAATATTTTAATTATGCTTTATTGATTCAATCCAAAGTTACTGGAAAGCGTATTAAAATAATTTTATTTTTGATTTTGTTGTTAAAAATAGTATGACGTTCCTAAGCGGTTGCTAAAATAATGAAAAAAATAAATAATATGAACCATTTTACGAATTATTTGAAAAATTTATCACAAAACTTAAATTTAACAATAAAAGTATAAATGCATATATATCTTGATATTTTTCACACCTGCTTCCTTTTAATTATCGAATCCTGTGTCCTGTGTTGAACATCGATCAATTTTAGGCATCATCACGTTACTTTATTTCGCATATATCTCACATAATTTATAGTTCTTCTATCGTTTTGTAAGAAATAAATTATAAAATTACACCAATAGTTAATAGTTTTCATTAAATTAGTACAAGTCAATATAATTTATTTCTGTTAGTTTTCAGTTTCCTGGACTCAGCAACGGGCGTCTAAAATGTACTTGTCATTAATGTTTGGCTCTACTTGTAAATAAATCATTACTTTACACGCCATTACTAGTTCATGAAATATCCCACTGCACCTTGAGGTCACTGATCTCAGCTAGTTACAAAATTCTACCTGTGTTAACAAAATATGATATTTTTCTTGATTAGACCGAAATTTAGTTACTCGTCTTAACCTAATCTACTTTAATACAAGGATACAAAATTGAAGGTTTCAAAAGATGAAGACGCTGTTACAAATAATAACTTTATAGTCAACTAAATAAGCTTAAACGCTAGTATTTTTTCATATTTGTGTCCTTTTAGTTAATTAGTTTTAGACAAGCTGTTTCATCCATATCTTCCTTTTTTTTCTAAAACTACTTATTTTTGATCACTGTATTTACTTACCTTTAGAAATTTGTCTACCATTTTTCCGGTTATCACTCAGACATTGTTCGTTGGTACATACCAATATTTATTTGTACATATTTTGAAGAAAATTAAAAAAAAGTAATGTTTCCAATTTTATGATATTTTCACTTTTCAAGTTAAGTTAACTATTGTAATAAAGTTCACTTGGTGAATAGCTGATTTTGTTTTTTCCACGTTTTATTTTCCCGAGAGTACAAAAAAGACAAACAAGACAAATGGTAAAATTATGACCAAAATTTATATGATGATCCCCACCAAAAATTTGATGTCGTCATTTGAAAATTTTGCTAGATCAATCCTATCTAAAAGGTGCAAAATATTATGATTCCACACTTGTGGTTTACCAGTGCATTCATGTTTATAGAATTACGTGAATCAAAAAATGAATTAATGAATCAGTTTATTTTACTGAACAAATCAAGAAGGAGTCACTCCATTTTCCCTAAATTTTGGAAATATAGTACGATTATTATTATTATTATACTGTACCTGTTCAAATTGATAAATGTATCCTTGCTACAAAGTCGACGACGTCGTCAAAAAATTTTGTTATGAAACTTGTAACAATGTATTCTTTAGCTGTAATATGGTAGTACACACATATTTTTACTTTAACTTATGTGCATTTTAATTAAGTATAATTGATTTGAGAAACCTGATTTGTTTGGTCGTACTTCAGGGACGAGATAAATTCTGAGAAATAACTTTAGACCATTTTTAATTATTAATAATCATCTCTAGTGTTTTGACTAGAATGATTCTTCAATGTATCAAATTAGAGCAATAATGTTAATCTACTGCTGTCGAAAAAAATAAACATTGGCGAAATGAGTTCTAATGATTTATTTGATAGTGACAATATCATGATCTCTAAATAACATATAGAGATATGTAAGTACACCGCAGACACATAACAGCTTCATCCACTAAGAAGCTCACTTGTCTTTGAAGTTATGTCTTTCATCCTCTTTATGCTTGTTTATTGTATAACAGGACAAAGTGAAATAAGCTGATATGTGAAAAGATATCATATACCACTTTCCTTCACAAAGTAAACTCATTTTTCAGAAAGATGTTACATAACCTCCCTCTTCATCTTCTGAAACCTTCAATTGTTAGGGGATAAAACGATAAATCTAAGTTAATGACTTTTTGCTTTAACATAGTGCGAAAATCAAGAAAACATGTTTTTAATTAGTAGGTACATCTTATTAAATTAAAATATATGTATATTTTTTCTCATATTTATTCCATATTTTCCAACTGTGGTAGTGGTGGTATTAAATGGGAAATGTTTATGAGAGATTGATATAAACTTCTAAATAATGAGAACTATCAGCCCTTCTAAAATTAAGGACATGCCAACAGAAGAAATAATTCTTTCATAAGTGTTAATGTATTCTTGAATAATTGATATTTTTAAGTAGGTGATAAATCTAGAAGTATTGTTGTTGTTGTAAAAGAAAAGTGTCCCATCGACAGCAGCGAAGAGTGCGAATGGTGCGCGAGCACAGCCGGCGAATGTGGATATTACGCAGCAGCGGCGGCGGCGGCATCGAAAAGACGACGGTCGACATCATCGGGCGAAGGGCGCAAGAGGTTATAAACATGTTGGGTCGTGCGAGAACTAAGAAGCAGGCTATAATACCTTGCAGTGATGGCAGCGGTGCGCGATGGAGTATGTCTGACCGCAGTCGTATCTGGTGAGGACCTGAGAATGTCCACACGTGATCCGTCCGGCCAGATCATCCGTCATGATGAGGGCGTCCAGCAGGTGTCGACAGGCCGGTCCGCCCTGGAAAGCGTCTTCGGGCAGGGCCTGGTCGACCGCGTGCTCGCAGCAGTGGCGCATCCGGAGTCCGTGCAGCACGTCACGCCTGCGCTCGGGGCCCAAGTCGGGGCCGCACACCTCCTCTTTGTGCGATTCTTGCAAATAATAAAGGCACTGAGTAGACTTAGTACTGTTGGCGGGGCAGGGCGGCGGACAGAGGGGCCCAGGGTCCGTACCGACGGCGCGAGCCGGCGAGCAGACGGCCCACTGCAGGTCGCTCGTCGAGAGCCAGCTGGAGACGACCTCGAGCGGCGGGGTGGCGGCGAACGCCAGGCCGGCCATCAGGAGCAGCGACAGGCCCGACGGGGCCCGGGGCATTCTGTGGGACAGGGCTCGGTGGCGGCTCGGTCAGCTACGGGCGCCGGGAGCATCGCTGCGGGCGGCGGGTGTGCCCCCCCTCGCGGCTCCGACTGCACCCCCCGGGGGCCGTGCGCCGGGGCCCGCTAGGCCGCCGAGACGCGGGCCCCCCGCGGCCCTCGCTCATGCTGCATGCTCGGCGGAGGGCCGGGACCACATCACATCACTGCACTCTGCCGCTAGACACGCACTAAAAGCAGCGACCGCAATCGACTACTCCGAGCTCACGGTGGGCCGCCATCTTGACGAAGGTTGGTTGTGCTCACAGTCCTCCCCGCCCGGGCGCGAGCTGTGCCGGCCGTCTCACGATCAGCACTGACACGGCGCGACGGACCGATAACGCGCACGCTCCGACCAAATCGATCGATGCCGCCGCCGCCCGCCCGCCGCCCCCGATCAATCGACGCCGAACGACGACCAGACGGATCACGACTGGCGACCCGGAGCGGACGGCGGCGGCACTGGATTCGTCGTTTGCTTGGTTCGTTGCCCGGCGCATCCACCAAAATTCGAGCGATCTTTTCCACTTGCGATCTCTTAATAGGAAAGATCATCTCGATCAGACAAGGAAACTAGTGACAATGGTCATCAAACTAAATCATCTATAAATACCAGTAGGGAACATTTAACAAAGAATAAGACTACTGCAAATACTTCAGCTTTAAAAGGATTTAAATTGTTAGGTCCACGGTTTTCTTAAATCTAACTTTATATCACATAAATCTGTTGGACTGGATAATATTTGTGTGTCAGTAAACGATATTGAAACTGCTACAAATAAGTTAAATTCGAGCAAGAGGAAAGGGGCTGATGGGATACACCCGCTATTTTATAAAAGTTGCAGTGCATCTTTTTACTGCCTGTTTACGTCCTGTTTAATTTTTCAGTCAATTCGGTTACGTTTCCCGACTTATGGAAGCACGCTCACAAACTTCCAGTGCATAAATCTGGTTCGTATGCTGACAGAGAATATTACCAACCAGTTTTTATTCTTTCCTTTGCTAGTAAGCTACTTGAAAGTATTTAATTATTTCCCTCATTTAAAGATGTCCATCTATTATTACTACTTTATTAAGTTAACGTTAGTTACCTTAATACCTGTTCATTATGATTACAGAAACTGACTGGATGTTTACTTACGTCATGAGTATTCACTGTGATTCCGAAGTATAGGTCTAGTAACGGAAAAACTTGGCTTGCAACTTCCTGTCAAACCAGTGTCAAAGAGACCTCAAAATGTGTCAATTCAGGGAGTTACGCCGAAGTAGAAATAGGCACACCAAAGTTTTCCCCTAGAACCACTAAATGTGGCCCCGGTGTGTCCTCATGACGCAAGTAAATACTATTCCAACAGAAGCCTATAAATTTGGACAAACCTAGTGCTTCTTAGCATCTCCTCAGACGTTAGCTATCCATACAGTCCTTGTTTGTGTCCGATAATGTAAGTGCCCCAATGGTTGCCATTTTACCTGTACCAACAAACTTTTATTATGTTAATACAACAAGTATCAAACATTTGCTAGAAGAGAAAAAAAAAGTTTTTTTATTGTTCCCACTACCTAATCTATGTAACATCTTGACGTAAGAATTTATAAACCGTTCCAACGTCAAGAAAAGAAACCTTCGTACAAGTCGAAAGAAGCACACTCTAGAGAAAAATGTCATAAACCCCGAAGGAGAAAAGAAAAGAAAAGAGATTTCTAAACTAAACATAGAAAAAATATGGGACAATTTGAAAAACAGAATGACGGAGACGGCAAGAAAAAGCTGTGAGGTAACGAAAATAGAACATGATAGTAGAAGGAGAAAATCATGAAGGTGACAAGAAATAAAAGTAGTGGTGAGACAAAAAAAAATTGAAGAGATAGTTATTTAACAATGAAAAAACAAAATTATTTTGACAGATATAGCATGTAGAATTAAAAATAAAAATAAGAATTTAGTTAAAACAGTAAACAAAAGACATGCATTAACACTAATATTTTTTTAATATGAAAGATAAAAGTGAGGCAATATTAACCAAAAAAGAAGATATTATAAAAGGGAAATTCATCTAAGCTTTATTGACACAGAGAAGATCTTCGACCGTCTAAAGACAGACGACGCATGGCTAACTCTAAGAAAGAGGAACACTGGGAAATAACTAGTTAATTAGTTATTGTACTATAAATTTCTATGAAAGAAAAGGACAAGACATTCGAGGAAAGAATCAGCAATTTAGAGAAGTTGTAAAAAAAGAGAAAAAAGAAAGAATAAATAATTCCTAATTACGGGTATGGAAGTAACGGAAAAACTAGATGCAAAAAGGGTAGAAGAAAGAAACTGAGGTTGAGCTAAAGGTGTCGGAAACAATAACTATAGACAAATATGAAAAATTCTTGTTAAGACGATTGGGGACTACGAGAAAGAAAGATATATATTTATTGATAACGATTAAACAGTAGAAGAACAAAAAATTTAAAAAGGAACTATAGACGTAGTAAAGGAAGAAAAAAATATACGCAACAATGATACGATATAGGAGGCTGAAAGTTGACGAGAAAATGTTTACATAGAACGAAAATAAAGAAAATTTGGAAGAAAATTTTATAGGCGAGTCGAGGTTAACGGAGCAAAGAAGCATAAAGGGTAGGGATCGTAACGATAAGAAAAATAAATACGCTGGGTTTAAGCACGTGGATTATGTACATAATAGGAGAATGGGAAAGAACTGTGGGAAAGACAAAAATTTTGATTTTTTTCATTGGAAATTACAAGGAGCGAAAAAGGAAAAAGTTAAGGGTAGAGCAAAACGGGGAATCGCAACAGGGGTGAAAAAAAGAAATCGAAGAGGGGACGTTAGAAGTGAAAGGTATGTTGGAAAGAAATAAAAAAATGGAGAATTTGCACAATGTATAGCAGAGGAACAAAAGCAGAAATCAAAGACGAAAAATTGCTATGGGAATTGATATTGATGTCACAAATTACGTACCTTTAAGACATGAAATATGAGAAAGTTTTATGAATAGAATAAGTTTGAAACAAGGATGTATGTTGAGTCCTCAGCCGTTTAATCCGGTACGAGGTGAATAGAAAAGGATAACGAAAAACAAAATAAAATTATACAAACTACGTGAGTTTTTGGGAAATGGAATTGAGAAAAATTATAGAACTATGAATTATGTATATGGTTTAGTACTGATCGCCAGAAATGAAAAAAAATTACAACCTTCGACTGTAAAATACATAAGATGAATATATGGATTAAAACTGATAAATCAAAACCTGCGATAACTGGGAATATAAATAATAAGTAGGTACGACATCAAAAAATAACTATTCAGTATTAAAAGTTGTTTTTATGAACAATAGACATAACAAAAATCATGATAAAATTAGAACGGATATATTTAGAAACATTTTAAAGATAGCCCCAATGGAGACTACAGTCCAATAAAACCTTCAGAAGCTTCAGAATTTTTCAAAGAATTGAGTTCATTCCAATCAAGTACTTAAATCGAATAAAAAATAAAAAATACAAAAAAATGTATTAAATTGCTTATTTTAAAAGTACTAAAGATATGTCGTATTTAATAAAATTCTTTTACATCAACCGGAAAAAATGCTTCATGCTTAACTGATTAAAGTGATAAATAATATGTTTATATTTATGCAGAAAATAACTCGCTTTTGTTTAATTATTACTTCGATTTTTTTTAACTAACAAACAACCTGATTTAGATTAGATAATGTTCCTTTCAGTCTTTCGTAATATTTAGTTTATACTTAGTCCTCAGTGCTGTGGTGTCATTTGTACGTGACGCTGAAGCAATTTTGATAATACACCACTAAAACTTAACAACGAATGGAATTAGCATCAGTACCAGCAGAAAAAGAATTAGCAGACCTTTTGACAAACAACTTTAGAACATCTTTGAGGCAAAGCTACGTTACAATAAAAGATTTTATTTTACCAGAACGTTGTGTTGAACTGGAAAAACAGATTAAAGAATTTGAAATGTCTGTGACACGGAAGTATGAATTTGCAGTTTTCCTAAACCGGAACAACTTGTATATCCGAAACTGCTTGGCTAATTTTGCATAATTTTGACTATGAAAGATCGAAGAACAAAAATATTAGAGTAAGTAATTTCAACAGCTTTACTAGTTAATGTTCATAGAGGGATTTTACAGATTTCAGCTTTTATCTGAACAAATCGCAAGTGATTAAAGACACTCCAAGGTTAAAAGTGTTAAATTCCTTTCTGAAGTACATTCATTATTTCATTGACTCTTCTAGATAATTTATACTGCAAGAAATCGAATAGACGTACCCGTTTCACAGTATTATCATTGAAAAAACGATGAAGATTTTAAGAAAACTTTGATGAATTCTTTCAACTTTTCTTTTTGATAGAAAAGAGCAGCTATGCTATACCGCACGGTATAAATAATTTCGTTAATTTGTTTATTTTACAGTTAGTTATGGCCTCAAGTAATTCAAAAAGTGGCACAACTGTTGAGTAAAACAGTGTATGAAGAAGAAAGTAATCAATCACAAAAATCCGTAGGTATCCTTCAAAAACATGAAAACAAATCCCACCGTAAACAAACAGCATTTCACTGAATTGATCTAAACTAATGCAGGTGAAAAATAATAGGAGTACCATTTATTAGAGCTGGCAAAACTGGAGAATATACAAGTTTAATATTCAGAACAAATTAAACAGTTTCGTTATCGAGTGAATAAAAGATTTCAAAAATTCTGATTTAAATATTTTAGATGACTAATATTTAGTAATTTTAGATACATTGTAAAATATTTTTCTTAAAATAATTGATATGGGAAATAAAATAATACACCGAGCCTTTTCTATTTTCGATGCAGAGGACGTTTAACGTAAATTTAAACGGCAACGTTTTCTCCTTAACGAGTTTTTTTTTTAACTAAATAATCGTGAAGGAAAAAATTGTAAAAAAAAATCAAAACATATTTTGAAAACCACTGTTAGCTTTTCTTTAGTTTCACTTAGTTCTTAAATGTTCCAAGAATTTTTTTTTAATTAAATGTAATGGTCACACTTAAACCATTTTCATTTTAAATTCTTCAATTTATTTTAGACTTTCTACTTATCACCAATTCACAACAAAGCTATTCAAATAAAATTTTATTATAATGAAATTTAAGTACCTAACATAAACCATAGTAATTTTTAATTTAGTATATTGTAAAAAATAAATCTTTCGCAAAACAAAAGTACAAAATATATTAGGTGATTTAAATTACCTGCTATCTATTTTTTAAATAATTAACTCAAAGGCGAGTGGCTTCATAAGAAGAAGATGAATTGCCCGATGTAGGAAAAATCCTTGGATTTCGTTTACAATTTTCCCTTCCAAAAAGAAGAACTGAATCACACCACGAATTGCAATTTTATTCTTTTTTAAATCAAAATCACTCGAGACGCTAGTATTCAATTAATTCTTAAACGAAGAATTACTGACATATTGTCATTAAAAAAATTGTCAAAACTTGTCAATTTATATGTAAGTTACTCGTACTTAAAATACGACTAAATGGAATGCTAAAAAATATAACTACAGTAGTCTGCTATCTAACAGACTCTATCTGTAAGTCGAAATACGAAATTATAATATAATTATAGGATGAGTCACTTCGCGTTCGTCGATTTCTCATGATCATGAATGACTGAAAATAAAAAAACTCAGAGATTAAAATTGTACGCATACCCACATTAAAACTATACAAAGTATTCTGTTTTTGAGACATAATGCACAACTTAGTCTTTTAAATGGAACACCCTATATATTGATATATATAAAAGGTGGCCTCTTCCTATTTTTAACTTAAATTGAACCTTAGTATATAGAGTCTTTATAAAAAAATCAAAATATTGCAATTTTCAAATATCAATATTTGAGTTTTTTCAAACAGAACATTCTCCTGTGTTTTATTACGACACCTTATTCTGGTTTTTTTTTGTTAAGCACTATTTATCTCTAATGTAGATAATTTCTTTTTTAAGAGACACACCAACATATCAAAAGAAAGAAGGCAAACAATAGACTAAAAGATACAATAAAAAAATAAACGGTGTTCCATTTGGAAAACCCGAAGTATCGATGTTTGAAAATTACAATGTTTTACTTTAGCTTTAGCAGGTTATATTGGATACTGAAGAAAACTTTATTTAACAATAACAATAACAAAAATTTTATCTACCCCAAAAAAAGAAGTGCTGTCACCTGAAGCTATTGCTAAGTAAATTTCACATGAAGTAAAAGTACAATATAACATACTCCATTACCTTTATTTAACAACCCATCTCTATTTTTAACTTTATACGGTTCACTAGTAGAAGCATTTGTTATTCTATTTTAATAATAATAATTGGAAATATATTTATTTTTTAAACACAACCTTTGAAGATATTGTTCTCCATGTAATTAAAACAACAAAACTAAAGGGTGTTTCAAAATGATTTTCATCTAGTTAGCTTTGAAATCGCTTCAACTCCTATCTTTCCCGAAAGATGAAAATCTGCGGCCATAGGCGACTAGATGAAAATCATTTTGAAACACGTTGTAGTTTCGGTGTCCTCTACATAATGATATCTAATACATTAGACTTAACTTTTTTTTGTTTTTTAATTTAAACTTTCGTGTCAAGTACTTGTAGCATTTAGTTATTTATTTAGTAATACATGGTTAGTAATTAGGTATTTTATTAGTGTTATGTTTACTGTCAATAATTTAACTACAGTGCTTAAAATTATTGCAAAATTACTTTGATTTATGCACATCGCATGTAAGTAAACAAATTACGAACTAAAATTTTACTAAAATAAATAATCAGTTGGTATTGTACATGTATACATATCCTATTCCAGTTGAAAGTGACTTACCGCCAACACTTAAATGTCAATAATTCAAATGTTATCATATCGTTTTTCGTGAAACATAACTTATTTAAAGCTACTTAATGCGAAATAAGAAACGTAAATTATACATGTGTTGTAAATCGCTTAGCAGCTTGAAAGTATATATTAACTTTAGTTGTTTGTTGCAAGTCTCCTGTAAGGGTCAAGTTGAAGTTTGTACTTTATTAATATTCATCAATATTTACAACAATGTTTATTTTAGTTTTATAAGAAAATCGTCGACTGATTAGATTTTTATTTCTCTTATCAGTGTTAGAACATTATATATAAATAACCAAAGATTAACAGAAGCTAGTTCTTATAAAAACTTTGTTAACGATACAGATGCCCTTAATAAGCAATTGTAAGTATTGTAACTATTTTTGTTCAAAATTAAATGTGAATTTAGCTTAATTAAAGGTTTTAGATTCTTCATTCAATTCACTCTTGTGTTAATTGCATTCTATTAAAATGGATCCTGCCCACGTCCCATCTGAAGAAGAATTAAACAGACTGTTACAGAAAACTTTCACAAGAACCGTTAGAAAAGGCTACACTGTTGTTGATAATTTTATCTTGCCAGAACGATACCATGAAATGAAAAAAGATATTAATGAGTTTGAAGTATATGACACAGATTTGTGGATTTGTGGATTTCCAAAAACAGGAACTACGTGGATATCTGAAATAGCGTGGTTAATTGTTAACAACTTTGATTACGAACAGGCCAAATTACCTGATTACAAAAGAACTAGAATGATGGAGTAAGTTTTGTAAAATGCCAAATAAGTGGGATCCACTTTGAGAAAAGGTCCACGTTCCTTAGTATTAACAGTAAAATTAATCAATCTTTCAGATTTAGCATGCTTTTTGACATCAAAAAAGAAGTGTTATTTGGAGGTGAAGAATATGAAATGGATTCAATTGGTTATGCGAAATCTCAAAATCATCCTAGAACAATTAAATCACATTTGCCGTTTAAACTTTTACCACAACAAATTTCGGGTAATATTGTACAACCTAAGGTTAGATACTGCAAATGATTTTAATGTACATAGTTATACTCCGCTGAAGTGAAATTCTAGATAATTTATACCGCCAGAAATACAATGGATACTTGCATTTCTTACTTCCACCATTGCAAAGGTTATGAAGGATTTACAGGAACGTTTGAAGAGTTTTCTAAATTGTTCCTTTTTGATAAGGGTCCGTTGTAAGTTATTATAGTTATTATATTATATTTTTTATTTGTAGTAAATTATGGACCATATTATAAGCACGTCTTACAATTCTGGGAATTAAGGCACAAACCAAATATATTTTTTGTCACATACGAAGAAATGAAAAATGATATAACAGGAATAATTCAAAAAGTTGCAGACTTTTTGGGAAAAACCGTGTCGAAAGAGGATGTTAAGCGCTTGCAAGAATATGTGTCCTTTGATTCCATGAAGGAAAATCCGGCGGTCAATAAGGAATTTGTGAATAAACACATTGAAGCTACAACAGGTAAAAAAGACGCGATCTTTATTAGAGAAGGTAAATCGGGAGGATACAAGAACGTCATGTCTCAGGAATTAATTGCACAGTTTTGTTACTGGACAGATAAAAGATTGCAAGGTTCAGGACTAAATCTTCTCTAAAAATTAAAATTCTACTATTATAATCAACTGATTGTTTTCACTTGTAGAGCATAATAGATGGTGAAATAATTTCTGTATTTGAATAATTACAAATTTAAAATATGTGGTCAAAATGAAAATTCGTTACACTTGTTTTATCTGAACTTTCCTCTCCTCTGACGCACAATCAATCTTGGGTGCATGTTACAGCGTATTTAAAGTGAAGATTAATGTATCAGTTTTTCACACAGATAAGTTTACTGTTACCTCCAGTCCTACAAAATGTAATGAAATTAAACGGATTGGTGTTGAAATCATAAAAAAAAGTGGAGATGATCGAATCTTGCCATGTCTACAAAGAGATTGATGTTATTAAATATATTGAGCAATTCTGTAGAACAACAAAACGATAATAAACAACAATTTTTATTCGATGTTCTGTAATCTTAATCAATGTTTCATTATTAAACCGCAGATAAAAGAGCAACATAAATTTGAAAAGCAATTAATATAACAAATTTTAACATAACGTGAAATAGAAAAGGGAGATCGACATTTTCAAACTTTAGAAGCCATGAAACGTCTAGAAAACATGAAATTACACATTCAACATTCGTCAAAATGATCCTATTGCAATTCTTTCGTAGTAAATAATAACACGAGAAAATATGAAAATAAATATTGATTGACTTAATCTCAGTTAAACTAGTTTAGACTAGTGTGTTACTTAATATTCAGCAAATACATAAAGTTATGAAATAATGTTTTGTGCATTTAATGCACCAAATTTCAGTTCTATAATTCTGAACATACTCCAGGGCTTTACAGGGATTTCAAGAGTAAACTGCATTCACAATGCACTGAACAAATGCATTTAATATGCAACAATTTGATAAAAATCTTTTATGTAAATATGAATAACTATTTACCGTTTATGATTAAGCTACATATAAATTGTTAAATGCAATCCGCATCATTGTGCAAATTTCACCTTGAATTAAGAGGCTTAATAAGTATGTGAATATTATACTTTATTATAGCGCCATTCCATTACTGTGCAACTAGGTATTTATAAAATGTACACAATCTGCACCGTTTTGCTAGAGACGCGAAAATTATTCGCCAAAGCGACAAAAAGAACCAAGTGATAATTCCGACGCACACTTATCGTAATTTTGGTTTATTAAAACCGATTTGCCAAATGCTGGATACATTGTATATTTATCTTAAAACTATTAAAAATCGACTAGTGTGCAACTAATATTCTCGTACTATTCCAATAAAGTAATGTTATGTTAATACTCACGATTTTGAAATAAATTCCACCAACGCTGCAAAATTTGAGAAAAATCCTAGCAGTTATACACTTTTACCTAAACAAAGTCCAATTCGTACTCGAATTTTTAAATTATCTCTACAGGATCGTCCACAAGAGTCCTAAAGAACCTGAACAAATTTCAGAGGCAACCCAAAATTATTGTCATAATTTTCTAGATTCTTTTTTCGAATCTGAACTTCAAACTTTGACGGAAAGTTCAAAATTTGTCAGTTTTTATCATCGCATTCCAAAAAAAAAAAGTATATTCGATTGCCAAAATGCAATTCAAATACCAATTTTAAAACAAAAAAAATACGAGGACGAGCAGCTACCGGTGTTGACAATGAAAAGGCAATTTTAGAAATGGTTAACAAAAATCTCCATTGCAGTCAAAGAACAATTGCAGCAACAGTTGACATTAGTAAAACGTCAATGCAACGAATACTTTGTCCAAATAATTTTCGTCCTTATCAACTGACTTTGTTTCAAGAACTGAAACCCACTGACTACTCAAAAATATTAGTTGTGCAATTTTTTTAGAGATAAACAAAATTTGAACCCCCGTTTTTATGACGTAATTCTTTTTTCTGATGAGGCGAAATTTTTGCACAACGGTGAAGTTAATATATTTAAGAATCCAGTTTTTCATTTTTGCAACGCACCTTAATTTCAAAAATTCTTTTGTACAAATGTAGAAGATACAGCCCTTCAAACTTTAATTTTTCGTTTCAAAATTTCGCCATATTTTAATTCATTATTTCGTGGTTCCAAGGTTTGAAACCACGCCCCTGGGAACCCAGTGTTAGAATCCAATAAAATTTTGGTATTGTTGGCCATTTCACCTGAAGGTCTTTCAGCGCCGTATATCGAATAATTGGGATCATTCTGCCATCAATGCAGAAACTTATATTTTAAAATGTTTACCTAAATTAAAAAAAAAACGTATTGATATAAAACATAAATATTTTATTTTGGGCGGACCTATCGAGTTGTCATAACGCCAAAAAAATTTCGTAAAAGAATTTGACGTTTCCATGATCCAAAGAATGTTAAACAGAGTCCAGTCGTTATTAAAAAAAAATAAGATAGAGAATCGTACGCCATGCCATTTTGAATTAAGATTATCCTTTTTCTAAGTTTCAATTAAAACATTGTTTGTCATTTAATATAATAAATCGTTTTTTGCATATCTATTGATGCATCAGTCGTTAAATGCGATTGTCTAACGAATTTTGAATTAGTCTCAAGAATATAGTTTTTCAGTCTTAAGAAGAGAGACGGTGGTGTAATGCTCGTAGCGTAGACCGCGAGAATCGCAAAATTTCATATGCGGAGCAATAGCCAAGTTTAGCAATCCCTGACAGAAGGACGGTCATACAATTCAACTTAAACCCAAAACTGCACTCGTCTAATATACATGTAAAATCCGACTCAGTAGCTAGATACTTTGTGTCCGAGGAAGATTTATCTTCTGTGAGCAATGCAGCTCGAGTAGTACGTAATCTCATTCTCAAGCAACACGAACTACTGCGTGCTTCCGTTGCTACTATACAGTGATATGTCTTTCAAACTACCATTTTGGCGTCTCAAGATTCGAAGTGGTTCGTTTCGGCTTATAATAGTGACAAAAGTTACTAGTACCTACATATACAGAAATGCCACGTTTACAGACAAACCCTAGAGTTGTAATATAGGGTTTCTATTAATGTTTCTTATACTAAGAATACATACTAATAATATTTTACAACTTTAGTCAAAGAACCCAACCCGCAAAACCCTAAAACCATAAAGTATACAGGTACGACAAAAGACCGTCTGCTTGGGACAACACAGGAAATTGTGAAGGCACGCGACATGGCTTACAAGTTTATAAGGACCCTAATGCGAAAACCCGATTCGGCATTGTCGACCAAATAATCCTAATTATGTCATAAAATTTTATTAGTATGCATGTAAAGTGATCTTACAATACATCATCATGGGTTGTGGTATTTACCGCCTACAATTCTGTGTATACCTATTTTATATTATCGATGTTTATTTGGTTGCATAAAACGAAGAGCATTTCAAATAACAATTTAAATGTATTACACGGTTGTCGTAAAACCTGGAATTAGGCTAGAGGCTTGCCTATTGATGTGTAGTAGCCACATGATGTTGAAAGTATTAAAATATATGTATGTTCCACGTCATTAAGTTGATTGATAAAAATGGTCAGAATCTCTTCCCGATATCTACTTGTTGTCATTATGTTACGAAATAAAATGGGCAAATATACTCGTCAACGAGACACACCAACTGTCAAGAGATGTAAAGGTGTCTCAAGAAAAACATTCCGGTTTTCAGATGATTAGATGCTGTAATTTTTAAGACCATCATGTAGCCATGATTCATCAGTTCATCACTAAAAATATAAGATCCAATAGACGATCATCATTTAAATGATTCTGTACTAAATGTATTCCAGGAGTCTTAGAATCTACTGGTTCAAATATTTGCAGTCGTTAATATGGTATAGGCATTCATTAGTAGTTTTTTCGGAAATCCCTTATTACTATGAGTTATGGCACCAAAATCGTTCCTTGTAAGTTGAGGATATTTCACAAGAAATTAATTCATACACATTGATACTGAATAAATCCACTTAACACTGGTTCATTATATCGTATGCCTGATGCAAAAAGAGGGGTGTTGTAATTTCGAAAGCTTTTTCTGTCTGTGTATCTGTCTGTCTGTTTAATCAGCATAGTTCTTCACTATGTTTGATAATAATCACTTCAGGCATTTCAAAATCATCAGCTCATTCATAATCGTGTCGACATCAGCTCGGTTCGCGCGTAGGTGAGGACAGCGCGTCAACCGCCACAGCGAGTCTTAACCAATTTGTGACTTTTTAAAGGTTTATTGTTTTTCGTCAGGAGTTTTGAAGTACATATTAGGTAACACTTGTTACTGTAATAGAATGAATACGTAATAATACGTTCATCTGTTCTGCTACTATAACTAACGTTTTAGGTAAGTAATTAAATGGGCAATGAGGAATGATTATTATGAATGAAAATAATAATAAATGAAGAATCGAAGACCAAACACCGTAACAACGAAATGCGAAACTGTAAAGTGTCAACTGTCACTCAAATGTCAAATTTATGTTGTGTTTTTTAACATCGATCATTATACTGAAAGCGGCAAATAGGTAGATCAAAACTTTTTGTACGCCACCTCTACAATGTATGAAATATTTATTGTTCCCTGTTTGTATACATTTGAATAATAAGATGTTTCAAGTGCGATAATTATGATCATGAGTCGAAGTCTTGTAAAATAAAATTTGCTCTTTTAATTGTAAAGGAGATTACCTACTAGGTGCGAGACTGATGATGTAGTGATCGGTTTCATCTATCAGCGTATGTAACTGCGCAAAATGTGAGAATGTGCAGAGCAGAAAATCCTCATTACTTTAGAAGAATGCCATTACACCCACAAAAAATTGGAGTTTGGTGTGCCATACCTACAAGACGATTAGTTGGACCCATTTTTATCGACTCCTCGTCAATCAAATTTGTTACTTATCTTCATAAATATATGTATCATTGTTGAATTCTTGTTGACATCACATAATATAGCTTTCTAAGACCGGCCAGAAACAACCCACATTCAAGTTATATTATGAAATTGCGAATTCATCACAGTACGACCCACTTTTCGGCCGAATTTGTTCTGTCAACAAATTCTTGAGTAACCAGATAAATAAAAAAAAAATCACCCAGTATAACCTATATTTCGGTAATCCATCTAAAATGAACATTTGTGGTCTCTTTTAGTTTGCTGTCACAACGGCTGGTTACAGGCAAAATTAAAAATTCTTTTTTATAGTTAAACTGTTGAAACTTCTAACAATCTAATATTTACAAAAACGAAGTTTCAATGAAGAAGTAAAGCTGTATGCTACTGTTTATCGCTAAGATCAGTCCTTCTACGAGTAATGATAATGACAAACGAGTAGGTGATGCATAATTATAATGTGACAGAGTATCAAGGAGACATCACTGTCTTCAGTTGAGACGTAATGCAAATTAAGTGATCATATTAACGCATTAGTTGGTGATTTGGCTTCTACCAAACTTATTATTTTGGTAAATAACTGACCCCGTGAACTTCGTTTCACCTACAATTTAATTTTGAATCTGCAAAACCGAATGCTTTGAAATCTTGCAAATGCTTTAAACATACGATAAGCATAATAAATTTTTATTCAAAATATATTTACTTATCCCCTCGAAAAAATTGATGACGTCAGCCCAAAATTTTGCCAAATGAATCCGATCTAAAATGTCCAAAATACGATGAGACTATACTTGTGATTTATCATTCCATTGATATTTTTTAGTTTTGCTTATAGGGGGTGTCTCAAAAAAATTAATCACTGAGTCAATCTATTTTATTGATTGAATCAACCATTGCAAGACTGAATTTTGAAATATTGCAGACGTTTGGAAGTTACTGTTTGACATGATAGGTTTTTAATCAAAATATATCTGTTTATCAAGCCCAAAAACTTGATGACGTCATCTCAAGATATTGCCGAATAAATCCTATCTAAAATGTGCAAAATATCATCAGTATATTTTCGTAATTTATCATTGCATTCATATTTTTTGGATTTGCTTTTACAGTGACTCAAAAAAATATTTGGATCAGTCAATATATTTTAGTGAGTAACTCAAGAGTTGCAGAAATGAATACTTTGAGATCTTGCAAACGTTTTAAAGTTATTGTAAGCATGGTAAATTGTTAAGGATATTTATTTATGCCCCCCAAAAAATTGATGGAATGGCTCACTCGATTTTCGCAGATAATTTTGGGAATAATATACAGTTATTTTTAGTATTACACTGCACCAATCCAAGGTGGTATACGTGTTGATCGTAAATGTTGATTAGGTCATCACAAAATTGTGTGAAGAAAAGACTCAACTCGAAAATGCTGAATATGTTTCATTATACTTTTGGTGCGAAACAACGTTCGATCAATTTTTTGACAATGGTTGATATAAATAAAACTCAGTCATAGTCGAAATACGAAGTATCTACTCGAATATCATATCAAAATATTTCTAGATGATGCTTATACTTCAGTAGGTAACAGTTGATGCTCAAGTATCATCTCGATACAACAAAAAAGGAAAACAGTGACAGTGTTCAATCATCAAGGCAAAAATCGAGTCACCAAGATATAAGTTAGTATGGGGTAAACACCTTAAGATGGGAATCTTAAGTGTTAGAAAAAACGCACTGCACAATTTATGCATAAATAAAAGTTAATTACCTAAAAAGTTTTCGATATTCCCGCTCCTAATGTGTTTTTCAAACTGAATGCACCTTTTGACGACGTTTCACGTTCATGAAAGTCACCATGTTTAGTTAAAATTCACTCTTACAACGATCCTACTCCTTTTCTAAGCTGCTTTACAGACAACTCAATTATTTGCCACGCCGATGCCCATTTTTAGATTAAATGCTCACAAAACGCGTAGATGTTCAATTTGTGTCCGGGGAGATACAGTGTTTCCAAGCAGGTACTTAGTACATAGAGTAGATGCTCAGGTATATAAGAGTAATAATGAAGTAGGTACCTACTTCGTAGTTCGAATATGAGTATCTACTCAGTTTTATTCATACCACCCAATGTCTCGCTTCAATATTTGATTATGTTGATTATGAGCACAACACTGATCAACTTCCATATTCGAATTACCCACCAATTAAATCATTGCGGTTTGCACCTGAGGTAGTTCGTCGCACATTTGATTGACTTCGTGGACCTATGTGAGGTTGTCGTCTTCTCGGCATTTTAATGAACTTCATAGAACGACACATAATTATTTTCACAGTCAATCAAATCTGTAAATTTTGTCTTGAGAATTTTAAACTACTGAAAACCTCAAATTAAATAAGGGTAAAGTTTGAGGTTTTGTCAAAACCAACAAAGTGAATATAGGTAAATAGAATGGCAGATCAAAATTAATAAGAAATTTTCGCAATGTGTAACTAAATTCACTTTAACCAAGACTTTTCTTAAAATAAACGACGTTTTTCTTTTACGAAAAAACAAAGAACGATTTGAAATGCAATACACTTTTCACAATTGCACGGAAGAATTAGTTTTGTATGACACGTCAGTTAATATAAAAAATTTTTCAAATCGGTCAAGCCGTTTTTGAGTTTTAGCGAGACTAACAGGAACAGCAATTGATTATTTTTATTATATAGAAGATTAAAAAATGGGGGTTGGTGGTAGAAAGGTGAACATTTAGGGTTATATGTATTTTTGATGCCAAATCTTAAAAAAATAAAAATAAAAAATTTTGTCTAAAAAATAGACAAACATTTTTTAGGGTGGGCCACCCTTATCACTTAGGGGTATAAAAAACCTACCGAATATACATAAAAAATTTCATACAAATCGGTCAACCCATTTCGGTTACAAAGACTGTGACGCGAGAATATTATACATAATAGAAAAGTATTGTTTTTAGACTTTTTCAGGCAATTTTTTAAATTTTTCTCTCAGTAGGAACCATCCTCGTACTTCAAGGAAAATTTGAAAACAAAAATTAGCCGAATCGGTTGAGTCGTTCTCGAGTTATGCGCTTAGCAACACATTTAGCGATCCATTTTTATTTATATAAATAGATAGATATGCCTGGTCTGATCGTATCCCAGCAATGGTGAAAGAGTTATATATTCTTCTACCATCAAGCGACCAACACCTCCTTTATTTGTCGCTTTGTTATTGGGACAAAATAGATCACCGTTTTCTAATTAAATTCGATTCCAGTGTCGTAACATTATTAAACTATAACCGAAGAAACGGACGAAATGGTACATGGAGTAAACATACTTATTGTCCAAATTTTTATCCATATTATGTTCATATTATTGCCAGTCGTAATATGTACATTACTTAGATCGTCTACTAGTTTTTTTTTTTAGGATAATGGCGCCTAAGGTTAAGTCTATTTCCCAAACTTAAACATATACCAAATGACAAAAGAAGAACACCTAGAAAAAATGAGATGCATATATTAATGTTAGGTCATGCAATAATTGATAACTATTAGAATCCACTTATGACAGTTTAGGGATATATGTAACTACATGGCATCGAACTGACTAGGTGGAAGATTCTTGAGGCACACTAACCTTTGCCTAAGGTGTGGTAAGTTTTACAGAAGGCTAGCCGGCTGGGTAAAAGTGTGATTCTCCGACCCGGCATTTCCTACACATGTTCTATTGGGGATGAATCAAAGGCAGGTGGGAGCCAAGGAAGGACAGCTACTTTTGCTTTTGCTAGGCATGCTAAAAAGGTTTGGGCTATGTTTGGGCTATCGTTATCTTGCTGGAATAAGACGTCCTCGTTTTACTGTATGTTTGGAATATCTATCAGTGCTACCACTTCCTGGACGTAACGATTTGTCGTCATAGATCCTTTTATAACAATTAAGAGAGACCTCTCTCAGACCATATAGCCCCCTAGATCAATGTGTCCACAGTTCGAGTGATATGTCGTTCTATGGAAAAAGCAGTATTATGCCATTCACTACGATGGTTTCTGTGAGCAAATGAAGACGTACGATTACAGTCCAAAAGATCAGATTTGACCTAATACTAATCCGTCGACCCACTATATCACTTTTCTGTTATCGCACTTGTCGAAAACCATCGATCGCGTTAGTAGTACCAAACATCAAAAGTAGCGGTGCGCCGCGATCTTCTGGCATCAGAGACTTGTGGTATACTTCTGGCAAATAAAATTACGCATTTATTAGAAAAAAAAACAAACTTAGCAAATATTTATGTCAATGTTGATTGTACAAATCGATTATAAAAAATAATATTTCAAAGTTTTTTCTTATCAATGTAACATCTCAGTTTCACGGTCAATGTGTTATATAGACAGTGTGTAGTTTAAAATTAACAGTTATAAAGAGTAGAACAATTTTCAGTGCTTAATAACAATCTAGTATTCAAATCCACCATATAACATTTTGAATTTTTTATAAACAAAACTTGGGAATTATCAGTTAATGTAACAGCCTCTACATCTGTGGGTATACCTGGCCAATCGCTAGATATATCTTTACCGTTTACTACTAGACGCTTCCCACTAGGTTTTCTTGTGTTCAGTGCGTAGTACTTTGAACCTGCAACTTACATGAAAATTTCCCATAATATTTCAAACGAAACAAACCTTTAAAGAAATAAATTGTCGTAGCACCAGCATGATAGAACGCAGCGTCAATATTTGGTGGCACTTTATCAAAACCTACTGAAATGAGTTTTTTGGAAATCAGTCGGTATGGTTTAGCATCATGATCAAATCGATAGAATAGGTTGTCTGACAAAAAATAGCTTCTTTTTCCAACCATAAACGCAGCATCAATTTTATCGGGTAATCCAGGAAATAAAACATCTCGACGGAATGGACCACTTTGTAACACTCCATCTGAAATTGTCCAGTACTCTTCTCCAACTACAAGCAAAGGCTCTCTTGTATCCAGTATTGCATCTACAGAGGTTCCTTCACATAAAATGCTATTATTCATAATTGCTTGCCCATACATAGTTCTTAGCGTTTTGGTATCAATTTCAGAGGGTTGTATTACTTGAGTCGAATAGTAAGGATGCATTATTGATTGCATAGTTTCTGTATGCGGTAATCCCAAAGAATGTCCCAATTCGTGGGCTGCAACCCAGCCAAAATATGTTTTAAACGCACCCTGTGATACATCGAGAGTCCAGTCTTCGTCTTTATCGAAGAAAATATCACCATTATCCTGAAAAGGGTAGATATTTTAAAGAATAACTTATCTTTTGATTGTTTGAAATGAAATGATATGTAGACAAATTGTATAACCCTAATAATCTAGAATTTTTTATATTTTCGCTAGCAATTATGTTTTAAATTTACCGGGTAATAAGCGTAGCCTAGAACGTTATAAGGCCCATCCTGTGTTGTAAAATGTATAATAATGTCAGCTTTGTTAGAATCAGTTTCACTTATTTTGAGATTAACGTTGTCTGTCCATACTTTTATAGAATCGTCAAATATTTTCTTCACTTCAGTCTTCATAAATGGTTCAGATACGTTAAAAATCTTATATGTTATATGAGAATTTTTCCATTTATTTGCTGTAGCAGAATATTATACACATTTGGTAAAATGTACAAGAGGTTGTTTAAGTCACTTACCAGTTTGGGCAAAAGCTGGAACATGTTCTGGTCTACCACAGCGGCGTGCTTTCATTCTTTCGATGGTTGCCTCGTCTAAAGTACCTAAAAGAATTATTATTCTAATTGTGCAATTTCTTTACCTCCAGACCCTCACACCTGTGGTTGGTAATTCATTAACTGATTGGAATTTTTCGATGGCATCTTTGAAAACTTTTTCGCCAGGATTAGAAGTATTTAGGAATCCATACGTGTGAAGATGTTGCTTTGCATCAAATGTAGGTCTTAATTGAGCATTTTGTATTAAAACAAAGATAAACAATAGAATGGTGAACATGACGAGCTAGGTATCACCATATGTCATTTACTAAAAATTTTATATCTTCAATTTAAAGCGTTGTTAAAGAAGTTTAGTTAACCTACACGACCTACTAATCAGTTAGAATACCCATTCACCTTATCATTATTTAAGTGATTATTACGCATTTCTATTTATTTGACGGTCAACCCGCAACAAATCTCCAATTATTAAATTAAAACTTGAACAGACAATAACTTTTTTGAAAATAACCTATCAGTATGAGTGTTAAGTTTCTTTTTATTTTTATATGAACAGTCTATCTGCAATACAAATGCTGATTTATCCCCTAACTTTTAAAGTCTTAACATGTATGCATTCCAGTGTATTAACCATGAAATCAACATAACCATGGGCTTTGCAGCTTTCTGTTAGTGAGGATGCCAACATAATTAAATAAACGCGGTGACGACTTTATCAAAAAGTATTGTTGTACAACGAATGGACAAGGTCAAACCGTCCATAATATTGATAGCATAACGATAGTTTTCATGGAAAGTTGATAACAGGTTTATATTATCTATATATATTTATTTAAAAATGATAAATGCAACATTATGACAATGAATATATAGCTAACATCTATAGAAAGATGAAACGCATTCTGAACTACTACAAAGTTGCTTAGTCTTTAAATTCACCACATAACACCTGCCACTTTTTATAAATAAAACTTTTGACGTGTTCAATAAAGTCGCTGCGTCGACATCGTTTGGTACACCATCCCAGTCAGTCAATATACTTGTGCCGTTTACAATTAAACGATCACCAGGCTTTCTTTGTGTATCAAGTACGTAATACTTTGCACCTAGAATGTTTCGAAAAATAAGTTTAAACTGAAAAGCCCAGAAAATACCTTTGAAAAAATAAATTATCTTCTCCTTCGGCACGTAAAAAGCAGCGTCGATATTCGATGGCAAATAGTCGAAAGCAACAGAAATAAGTTTTCGACGATACTTATTTTTCTGATAATCGATGATGTAAGATACGTTGTGCTTTAAAACGTAGATATTTTCTTTTACCACAAAAGCAGCATCAATATTATCAGGAAACTCAAGAAAAATTGATTTTACATTATAAGGACCACTTTTCAGGGAGGTATTCGTCATTTCCCAATACTGGTTTCCCTTAAATAAAAAGTATTTTTGAAAATTTATCATCAGTATTTCGTCTATGGACGTTGCGGTACACAAAACTGTTTTGTTCAGTAATGGTCCGTACAAAGATTCCAATTTTTTTATATCTGTTTTTGAAAGTTTAGGCAACGTGTTGACATAATACTCAGACATTATGGACTTTTTACTTATCGAGTGTGTCAAGCCCAACGAATGGCCAAATTCATGAGCTGCAACCCAAGGAAAATATGTTTCGGTATCTGATGTCTGTAAATGATCTAATGTCCACTTTTCATCTATATCAAAGAAGATATCCCCAACTTCCTGTGGAAAAAAAATATTAACAACCATTTTAACTCAAAATGGTCGTGAATATAACAAATTAATAATATACAATATGATCGAAAAAACTCCTCTAGTAGGCCGCCCAATTTATTTTTAAAATAGTGATGTAGTATGACCCTTTGTTTGACAGTTATTTGACCGAAACACATTGCTGTTACCAACATCATTATTTTAAAAATAAACTTCGAGACCTACTATTATAGAGAAGTTTTTGTTTTTGATGTCTAGTCACAAATGCATACGGGCATATATGCGTATCCAAGACTGTTATCCACTCCATCCAAATCCGTAAAATAGATGTTAATATCAGCATTATTTGTTCTTGCCTCAGTAATTGTAAGATTAATGTTGTTAGTCCATATTTTTACAACATCTTCAAAAACACTGTGAAGTTGTTCTTTTGTCAAAGACGTACTATAATTTTGAATTTTGTAAGTAATTTGTCGTCTCATCCAAGGAGTTGTTCCTAAAATACAAATATGTAACTACGCAAATATATCTAAGGGCAAAATCTAAACTAACGAAATGTTGGAGTGTTAGGTGGCATTTGACAACGACGTAAATTAATTTTATTAAAGGCGTCATCTGCAGAAGAAAATAGTAAACGTCTCAACATTAATTTATATCACATAAAAAATACCTGTGTCATTTGAAATAAAAACCTGATCTAGATTTATTCCACGTTTTATTCTGCTAAAGTCCTGAAAACTTTGTATACAGATAATTTTCATTCATTTTAATATAATTAGTTAATATATGAGAATAACATTACCTTCTCACTTATGCTCCTTTGTTGGGAATGAAATGAAAAAAGAAGAATCGAAATCAAATAAATTAAGTAATTTTCGCACATATTTTGGTAACACTTCGCTACAACGTTTCACTCACACATGGCTTTTAGCCTTGACCTCGCAACAACACACCAGTTACATGGGCGCACTCAGAAACAGACTCTATTTATAATAATTAAGGTTATTATGGTAATATCCAATTACAATTGAATTTTTATGTATATATATACAGTGACATCCAACATAAAATAGGATGGATACTTTTCTCTACCTAGTGTAAGTTTCAAACCTGTATTGACGTTTAAATATCATTGTTAATGAATAGCTATTCAATGTAGTCCAGTTTACACAATTAAATTTCTTAATGGCCATTTCATTCGAAAAACTAATAGGAGTAAAATATTGTGGTGTGCCAATTTGAAAAATCAAATTTCACTCTCAACAAAAGTGCGTTTGGGAAAATAACGAAAAAAGTCACTCTTAGGTTAGTAGTTCTAGGAAGTTTTGTAAGATAGTGCAGGTGGAATTCCAAAAAAGGTCACTCACTTCCTGTTTTGAGTGCGTTACTTGGTGTTTTGGTATATAGTGAAAACCCCAAATTTAAAAACGTTTGTAAAATTTTGTTTGCAATTTGATTAAAGGCCAGTTGTTTTGTCGTGTCCATCCGTGTTATTATCGGTGGCCAAGCATGGACACTAACAAAATTATTTATTTGGGTGTAGGTCCATTTCCTTGGAAATGGATAGCTAAATTGCAATCAGGGAGAGGTAATAAGTAAAATGTGATCTTCATTTAATAAGTGTATTAAGTATAAATTTAACAGAATTGATTGTTAAAATTGTAAGTCCCAGACAAAGGTTAAATATAATTGCATTCTTAAGGCTACGAAACCGAAAATCGATATTTGACGCGTCCGCTAAATAATAATAACCTCTACTTGATAATACAAAACAAAACTAATTACTATTCACTTCAATTATTTAGATATATGGCAATCAACAGTTGCTACAAAAGGGCCAAATATCTACGTCTCCTTAAAGTTATTTAAAACGAAAACGCTACTCGAAATATCCTTAAATAATCTTTTTCTATCCCTGATCAATAAAATATTAGCACAAAACTTAAATTAAATGTCAGTGCAATAATTGCAAGTATGACGTTAAATAGGTAATACATGGGCGTATGAGGTCCAATCTACGAATGGTACTTTTTACAGGGATCATCCCCTATTTACAATAATAAAATTTGGGATGATTAGAATCTATACAAACAAATTAAAATAATAATAAAAAAAACTATTATAATATTATGCAACAGGAAAATTAAAGCCGTCCTCCTACCTCAGGTCAGCTCCAGGGATGTGACTGCGGTAAATGTTAAGTGTAACATAGGAAGAGGCGAAGAGCAACTGGTAATAGCATCCGTGTACTTACCACAGGGAGCACCGGAACCATGTCCAACATGGGAAATGGCGAACTTGGTGGAACACTGTGATAGCGGAAATATAAACCTCATCATCGGTACCGATGGGAATGCCCACTGTTTGCTGTGGGAGAGCAAAAAAAAAACTAATGATAGAGGAAGAACACTAGCTGAATATCTTTTATCAACAAATCTAGAGATTCTCAACCGAGGCTGCGAACCAACTTTCGTAACATCGCGTAGTCAGTCAGTAATAGATATTACACTGGCTACATGGGATATCTCACAACATATAATGGGATGCCACGTCTCTAAAGAGGTGTCAGTGTCAGACCATAGATGGATCATATATACATTAAAATGTATAGACATGGAGACAAAGACGTACAGGAACCCTAGGCTGACGAACTGGGCTTTATACAACGAAGAACTGGACGAAAGACTAGGGACCTCCGTGCAGTCTACACCAACAGAATACAGATCGACAGAAGACATAGAGAAAACCTTGATCATTATCAACGACTCTCTAATGTCAGCGTATGAGAAAAGTTGCCCCCTAAAGAAGGAAGGTCTGGGCAAAGGTACACCATGGTGGAACCGAAGGCTCAGCCTACTTCAAACGGGGCTAAGAAAACTTTTCAATAGAGCAAAAAACACTAAGAAAACTGAAGACTGGGAAGCCTATAAAGAGCACCGGAAAGAGTTTAAGAAAGAATTAAGAAACAAGAAACGGGAAACGTGGAGATCCTTCTGCAGCGACATAACGTCGACTGCGTCGGCCGCAAGGCTGAAGAGAGTTCTCTCGAAGGACCACACACATCAACTACGTTTCCTAAAGAAAGAAGATGGCACCTTTACAGCCACCTTAGAAGAGTCCGCAGAACTTTTGCTGCAGACCATGTTTCCAGACAGCACAAGGACTACCTCCCATTCCAAAAGGGATGTAGCCGGTACTCAACCTGGAGTGGGCAGTGGACAGCTTTTCCCCATACAAATCTCCAGGAGTTGACGGTATTTATCCCGCCCTCCTGCAGAGGGGAATGAGCAGACTACGCCCTATTTTGTTGCCAATGCTTCGGGCGTGTCTGGCTTTCAGATACATACCGAATGCATGGCGAATAGTAAAGGTTATCTTTATACCTAAGCCAGGACGACAAGATTACACCTTGGCTAAATCCTACAGACAAATTAGCTTAACAAGATGTCTCTGAAATATTGGATGATAGTGGTCAAGTAGACGTAATTTTTACTGATTTTCAGAAGGCCTTTGATCAAATTGATCACTTCATATTACTCAAAAAATTGCGCTTGATGGGATTTTCTAACTCTATGGTACAATTATTTTCTTCTTATTTGATTGGTCGTGAGCAGCGTGTACGTTATCAAAACCATCTGTCGAAGTCATCGGTACCAACATCTGGGGTTCCGCAAGGATCTAATTTGGGTCCGTTACTATTTTTAATATTTATTAACGATCTGCCTAATTTATTACTAAATCGAAAATTACTATTCGCTGATGACTTAAAGATCTACGCCAAAATCACAAGCGTTGATGATTGTCTTCAACTCCAAGAAGATATCAATATATTAATTAACTGGTGCTTAAGGAATCGACTCACTCTTAATATCCTAAAGTGCATTGTCATGTCTTTCACACGAAAATTAAAACCTATCGTCTTCACGTACTCAATGGGAACTTCGAAGCTTAAAAGAACAGATATCTATAAGGATCTCGGTGTCATATACGATATGAAACTTAGCTTTGTGAACCACATACAGGATACTGTTGCAAAAGCATTTAAAACCTATGGATTCATCTATAGGAATTGCAAAGAGTTTACGAACATTCGGTCTTTATCAGCTTTATACTATTCTCTAGTTCGCTCTAGGCTGGAATATTGTGCGCGTGTATGGTCTCCGATTTACGAAATACATATTATTCATGTTGAATCTGTTCAGAGGAAATTTCTGAAGTTTTTAAGCTTTATTGTTGATAGGACATATCCCCCACGTGGCACTGATCATACGTTGTTACTTGAAAGATTTCAGTTCACATCACTTAAAATTCGTAGAATATCATACGGCATTTCGTTTCTGTGGAAACTTTTGAACAATCGTGTAGACTGCACATCGCTTCTACAAAAGATCAACTTTTTAGTCCCCAGAACTCAGCTTACTCGTCAAGTTTTTACATTTTATACACACCCCTGCAGAACAAATATTTTATGCAAGTCACCATTGCATGCAATATGCAATAATTTCAACAAAATTGCTTGGAACTGCGACATCCATCATGACGCTATTACAAAAATTAGACACTGCATTGTAACTTATTGGGACAATGGAAGTTAACTTAATTTATCTTTATTAATTTTTTTTGTTTTTTTTTTTCTTCTTTTTATTTTTATTTTAAGTAATTTCAACGTGTCATTTAACTAGCATGACTAATGTATATTTTCTGTAATTGGGTATAATACCTGTAGAAAATAAAGGTTTATTTATTTATTTATTTATTTATTTATTTATTTATTTATTAACATCATTCTTGCTGAAAACGCTAGAAAGACTAAGCGAAAAAGAGATTCGGGAGACTGCTTTGAGCAAGCAACCTCTACATCCGAACCAACACGCCTACATCCAAGGAAGATCCACCGATACGGCCCTACACACAGTTGTAAACCGTATAGAGTGGGCGATGGAGAACAAACTCTTCACCTTAGGAATGTTTTTGGATATTGAAGGAGCGTTTGATAAAACGACCTTCAAAAGCATAGAACTAGCCCTACGAGAGCACGACGGGGACCCCACCCTAAGTGGGGTGGCCGGCATGCTGAGGAATAGGGAAGTAATGATTAATGTAGGTGGCACTGAGATCGAGGCTGTTGTAGACAGGGGATGTCCTCAGGGAGGAGTTCTCTCTTCTGTACTGTGGGATACTGTCGTTGACAGCTTGATACGATGCCTCAATGATCTTGGCTACCACACAATTGGATACGCGGACGATCTAGTCATTCTGCTAACAGGAAAAAACGCAGATACATTATGTGAGGTAATGCAAGCTGCAGTAAAAATAGTCGAGGAATGGTGCAGCAGGCATACCCTCTCCGTTAATGGAGAAAAGACGAAACTAATCCTGTTCACTAGGAAAAGGAAAATTGGCACACTACAGATGCCAAAAATATTTAACACAACGCTTCAACTTTCGGACGAAGTCAAATACCTGAGAGTTGTATTGGACTGGCGACTGAATTGGAAGAAGCATGTAGATGATAAAGTGGAAAAGGCACGCTCGGTTCTTTGGCAATGTCGTAGGGTGGTGGGAAGGTCGTGGGGTTTAAATCCCAAGATCGCCCTCTGGATCTACACGGCAATAGTCAGACCGATGCTGTGCTATGGAGCTTTAGTTTGGTGGCCCAGAGCCAGACAAAAAACAACAGCCCTGCAACTTGAACACGTTCAGAGGATGGCGTGTCTCAGTGTTACAGGAGCAATGAGGACCACTCCCACAGCGGCACTGGAGACTCTTCTTTGCTTAGCACCTCTTAACCTTTACATAGAGGAAGCGGCAATGACGACGTCTCTAAGACTTCACTCTCTGGGAGTATGGAACAAGCAAGGCCGCACAACGAAGCACACTCGGATCTTAACGGAGGCGTTCAACAGAATACCCTTATTAAGGATGGGTTGTAACCGAATGGGCACAAAATTAATATATGAGAAGACATATAGAATATCAATGAATGACAATTCAGAAGGACGAGCCGACATAGATATCTATGTCGATGGTGCCAAAACAGATAGTGGTTCAGGAGCCGGCATCTACTCCGAACAACTGAACGCACAAATCAGTGTACCTCTCGGCACCCACACGTCTGTCTTACAAACAGAACTGATGGGAATAATGCTGGGAGCTACAATCGTTGCTGAACGTGAAATCGGCAACAAATCAGTACGCATACTTACTGACAGCAAGTGTGCACTACTAGCCCTGGACAACTGTATGGTTCGATCCGGGCTGGTTTGGGAGTGCAGACAAACGCTAAAGTATGTAACGCAGAGGAATAGTGTGGAACTTTGTTGGATCAAAGGACACAGTGGCAACGAAGGAAACGAGAGGGCAGATGAGATGGCGAAGCGAGCCGCGCGCATGCCCTTCTGGGGACCCGAACCGGCAATCACGCCTTCGGTCGCCCTCTCGAACGAACTCGTA